TTATGCCACCCTGTTCCACGCCAGCACACAGCATATTCTCCGTGATCTTGCCACAGTAACTTTCCTGGCAGCTCTCCTGGCTGACGCTATAGACATCTGCACACTGCATGATGGCTGGGAACCGCCCTGGGCAATGACAGAAAAACAAGAGATCATGAGCGGGGAACAAGGTGCAAGACAAGAAAACTTGGTGTAAGACCCTCAACTGGTGTAAACTGGCACAGATCCACTGACTCCAATGGAGCTACATCCGATTGACCCCAGCTGGGATCTGGCCCCATTGACTCCAATGGAGCTACGGCTGATGGACCCCAGCTGGGATCTGGCCACATTCATTTTCCCGAAAAGGAAATTTTTGATGAATGGAAAAGCCAAAAAAACAAATTGTTTCATTTAGATCCAGTATTTTATGTCATATTATAATATTTCATTGTGATTTGAAGCACGTCTGTAATGTTTTAAAATTGTTTTGAATATGAAAGGAAAGGAAATTTCAAAAGAAAACATTTCAAATAGAACAAAAACCAAGCCATTGTGTCCCAGTGTTTTCAAAATGCAAAATTTTCACTTTTTTCGGAATATTTTTTTCTGAAATGAGTGAAAACGCCCCAAGTTTGTAGGACACTTTGGTGTTGTCGAAGCTGAATTGTCCACTAAAAATCGTTTCAGATGAAAATTTTCCCCCAGGGAAGCCAAAGACCCTTGTGAGCCCATTAACGAGGTCTCCTTAAAGATCTTCCACCACCTCCCCAAGCTGAGCCCAACCTCAACCCCTCGCCTCTACACCCCAGCATGCCATACTTTTGGGGGACTTGATGGTGCCCCATCCTGAAACACTGCATCGTGTTCCAGGAGAGGGACAACAGGTCGTCACGTTGATTGTGTTCACGTAGTTGTTGAGTTGAGCGGGCTCATCCAACTCCAGAAGCATGAAGTCATTGTCACGAGGACGAAGGTTATACCCAGGGTGCATGAAGAAGTTGTGGATTCTTCGTATCTGTTCTGTGGGTTCTTTCACCCGTAGATTATAATCTCCCAGATGCACCCGCAGAGAGCTGCATGGAGAGAGGACAAAGGAAGAGATCAATGGGCGGCTATTCAAAGGTCATAGTTGGCAAGCAACTAGAATTGGGCCAATAATGGATTTTTCGATCCTAAGGTAGCCTCCAAGATCTCATCACTTGGCTCCTCAGGAATTCAGTTGACTCCAATTTTGTCTGATCTCATTGTTTTAGACTCCACAGAGCTGGTCAGAGTCACATATAAGGAGTGGGTATGGAGCATACCACAGATCCAAAGAATACAAGTATTGGTTACTTTAGATACAAGTTTAACCCTATTCTATACCACATGTATCTGACGAAGTGGGTATTCATCCACGAAAGCTTATGCTCCAATATGTCTGTTAGTCTATAAGGTGCCACAGGACTCTTTGTCCCTATTCTAATGTATGTGGAACCCACACACCTTCTGGGTGTGGTATTCTGTCCCATCTAGTGGCACCGAGACTACTTAGAGATTAATGAGTCTGCTCTACAGCCTTAGCTAACAGCCAGTTGGGTTTTAACTCATTCTGTAGAGGCTCATGCACTAAGCTGGGGGCCCCAGTTCGATCCTGCCTGCTGGTGACTGGGGAATGTTGGCATTGCATATGCATCCTCCATTTTACATGATATCATGCACTTTATCATAGAATCATAGAATATTAGGGTTAGAAGAGACCTCAGGAGGTCATCTAGTCCAATCCCCTGCTCAAAACAGGACCAACACCAACTAAATCATCCCAGCCAAGGCTTTGTCAAGCCAGGCCTTAAAAACCTCTAAGGATGGAGATTCCAGTGCTTCACCACCCTCCTAGGGAAATAGTGTTTCCTAATATCCAACCTAGACCTCCCCCACTGCAACTTGAGACCATTGCTGCTTCTTCTGTCATCTGCCACCACTGAGAACAGCTGAACTCCATCCTCTTTGGAACTCCCCTTCGGGTAGTTGAAGGCTGCTATCAACTATCAACTCCCCCTCCCCTCCACTCTTCTCTTCTGCAGATTAAATAACCCTAGTTCCCTCAGCCTAACCTCGTAAGTCATGTGCCCCAGCCTCCTGATCATTTTCGTTGCCCTCCACTGGACTCTCTCCAATTTGTCCACATCCCTTCTGTAGTGTGTGTGTGGGGGGGGGAACTGGACGCAGTTCTCCAGGTGTGTGTGTGTGTGTGTGTGTGTGTGTGGGGAAACTGGACGCAATTCTCCAGGTGTGGCCTCACCACTCACCAGTGCCGAATAGAGGGGAATAATCACTTCCCTCGATCTGCTGGCAATGCTCCTATTAATACAACCCAATATACCATTGGCTTTCTTGGCAACAAGGGCACGCTGTTGACTCATATCCAGCTTCTCGTCCACTGTAACCCCTAGGTCCTTTTCTGCAGAACTGCTGCCTAGCCACTCGGTCCCTAGTCTGTAGCAGTGCATGGGATTCTTCTGTCCTAAGTGCAAGACTCTGCACTTGTCCTTGTTGAGCCTCATCAGATTTCTTTTAGCCCAATCCTCCAACTGGAGGATTATTTTCAGGCCCAATTCCTGTACATATCGTGCTATGTTCTCATGCCACATGTACACAGCTTATTTTGTTAGTTTTCTCCCTGTCTTTATAGTCACCTTCCACACATTCTTAGCCACTGTTTCTGACACTATTTTTTCTTGCACCTGGTTTTATACAGCTGACCTTGTCCTCGGCTTTTGCATAGGTTGACCAGATGTCCCAATAATATTAGGGGTTTTGTCTTATATATGCCACCATTCTCCTTTCAATGAAAAAAAGTGTCCCACTTTTTCACACGTGCTATCTGCTCACCCTATTTTGGGACCCACTTCGCATGGTTATTTTTACTTTTGCCTTCTCCTGGGTTACTGCGGTTCGCTCACGCCAAATTAAACCAACGTGCGGGCGCACTGAGAATTGCAGAGTAAAATCTGGGTCAAAGAGTTTTGAAATTTCCACTGAATCGAAAAGTCGGGGGAGCAAAGTTCGTTTCAGTCATCGCGAAACGTTTCTGAAAACCAACTAACAGGGCACTTTGAAAGAAAAAGTTGTTTCGAATGGAAACATGAAAACATTTCGAAAATGCCAACACAAAACATTGTGATTTTTAATGTATTATTTATGTTTTAATTAGTTTTTCCAAATATAACAAAGATACCAGCTTTGTTCTAACACACAGAGTCTACGTCCTCACTACCCGCCGATCCGGCGGGTAGCAATCGGTCTATCGGGGATCGACTTACTGCGTCCAGTGAAGACGCGATAAAATCGATCCCTGATGGCTCTACCGTCGACTCCGGAAATCCACCGTGGCAAGAGGCAGTAGCGGAGTCGATGGCGGCGCGGCAGCAGTCGACTTGCCGCCGTCCTCACAGCCAGGTAAGTCGACCTAAAATATGCCACTTCAGCTACGCTATTCATGTAGCTGAAGTTGCGTATCTTAGGTCGACCCCCCGCTGTAGTGTAGACCTAGCCAAAGAGAGTTAGGGGGGAAGGACAGATCTATCTTCAGGCCCTGCAGTAATTACTGAACTCTAAAAAGGCAGCCTGAATTGCTTTCAATTTTTCTGGCACTCACCTTCTGCAGCATACCAGGCGTTCATTCCAGGGCTTACATTCTCATTGAGTATTTCCCAGAGCCCCCCATGGCCCACCTCCATTCGGGGCTCCAGGCTTCAGCTGTGGGGTGGGGCTACTTGGGCTTTAGCCCTGCAGGATGCAACAGGGCTTGTGGCTTCAGCCCCGTGGGAGCTGCTGGAACATAGGGCTTCAGCCCTGTAGGGTGCGCCAGGGCTCAGGTGTTCCGAGCTTCAGCTGCAGTGCCCAGTGGATGCCCTGAAACCAGCGGGGGGCCACAGACACCCCCAGTTGAACGCCAACAGCATCAGGCTGGAATCAAGGGAAGATATTTCCCGGAGCTCCGCTCCATTCCATCAGCTCCTAGAGCAACTGCACATGAGCCACCCGTGGGATGCTACAAGGGGTAACGCTGGCGAGCGTGGGGGTGAGTTTTTCTCTGTCCATGGCCCTAGGGAGATACTGATACTGGCGTGCTGCGTCCTGTGTGGGGTGGGCACATTTGAAGAAGGACGCTGAAAAACCGCAGAGGGTGTGGAGAAGAGCCAGAAAAATGGTTTGAGGGGTGGGAAAAAATGGAGGAGATTGTGGGGTGCAGAGGGAGACCTGGGCATGGATGGGGGACACCAAGGGAGACAATAAGGACTGGGGATGTGGGTTATTCCCATGTATCACCCTCTCTCCCACCACCCCCGCACTGACTTACCTGATCCGTCTGATCCGTCTGCCGCAGTGCGCAGCAGTTAGCACCCACTTCGGGGCTATCAAGCTCCCGCCACAGTAGATGCGGCCGTTTCTCAGGAGAGCCACCTGGTAGGGCCGCGAGCCAAAGACGCAGAAGCTCCCGCCAATGATCTGGTTTACCGCTGTGTCTGAGGCTGCAATGGAGAGTGGCAAACGTCAGGCACAAGTGGGGTAGTAAGCGGAGCGACCATCAGTCACGTCCGTATGGATTGGCCGGTGGCAGGATGACCATGAGCCACTGCTTGCACGTGGCAGTTCAAAAAGGCTATTCAAGGTTGTACCAGGAGACGTATTTCCAGTAGGGATATGGAGGCATTAATGCCACTGGTAAAACCTCCAATTCCGGTCACCCGTGTTCCAGAAAGAGGAATTCCAACTGGAACAGGTGTCAAGAAGGGCTCTCGGATGACCAGGGGAACGAAGGGCTGATCTTACAAGGGGAGATGGAAAGAGCTCGGCTGGTTTAACCTAAAAGAAGGCCGAGACAACATCTGATTGTTCTCTCTAAATACAGTGGAGGAAAAACACCAGGGAGGGAGAAGATCTATAGGAGACAGAGACCAGCATTGGCACAAGAACAAATGGGTATAAGCACCATGGATAAATCTAGGCTGAGATTAGAAGACAGTTATTAACCATTGAAGGAAGGAAGTTGTGGAATAGGAGCGGGAGGCAAAAACCCTCATGAGTTTGAAGATGGAGCTTGATACGTTTCTATGACCGAGCTGCCCAGGTGGCAGGAACTGGTCATAATGACCCAGGAGGAAACTTCATTTTTTAATGTTCAAATGATTTTCCAACCACTTTTTGCAGTCCTCTAATGCATTGGCAGCAGGGACTTGAAATTTTACAAGGGAATAGCCCTGGAGTCAGGGAGGTGCCTTTTGCTGTTCACATGAAAATTCACCTAGATTTGATCAAATTATAAACCTCTGGAAATCACAATTTATACATGCTCAGGAGAGCAGGGGTTGGTCAGTGATTGGCATTTCTAAGCTTTTCTGCAATACAAATTATTAAAACTGTCAAACTTTTTCGGATGGAATGCTTTCCCATCAGAAAATGCCATTTTGTCAAAATTGAAAATTTCCACAGGAATGTGTTGATTGTGATGCATATTCTTTTAAAAAAAGTTTAAAACGAAGCAGTCTCCTCTATGGGCTAGGCTCCACAATCAAACTACATCTCCCATGATGCCTCACAGCCAGGAATTTCCATGATGCACTAACTTCTCCTCACCAAGCGGTGCATGGTGCTTCATGGGACAGGCATTCTGACCAGAGCATTGAACATTATCAGAAAGGGCCATTTTGATTTGTTTTTATTTTTTTAAATAATTTTTGTTTCCATGTTTTTCTTAAAAGAATGAACATTATATTAGAAATGATGCTCTGTAAAAGTTATATATTTTGAAATATATTTAAATTTAAAGACATCGAAATCTCAGTGAAACAGATTGATTTTTCCCCCCCAAAACATTTTGTTTTGTGGGAAATTTCAAAATTCTTTTCTTCTGTCCTGATTCAGGACGCAAACAGATTGTGAAATCATGGCTTCCTGCCTGCTTTACAAACAATAACGAGTAATCAGAGATGAGGCGTGAACATATTAATTACCTTTTGCAACACATAACAGGACTGCTGGGAACTCGGCTTTTCATAAGCAGGAACCTGTCTTAAGCAACGTCTCTGAGACATTCCTGGAAGGGCCTGCGGCGAAACTGCAGAACCGTCTCACCCAACCCAACTTTGGCTTCTTTCTTCACTCTTTTTCCTACCTGCGGCTGCCCCGACTACCAGCATCGCGATGATTAGCAGCTCCATGGCGGTTGTGGTGATGGATACGGTCGGTGGAGTCACTGGCTTTACTGCAGGGAAAGAGATCGAAAGGGAATCATTGGCCACGGGCGTCTTGAGGAGGACGGATGCCTCGCGGGGAAGGTGCACGTTTAGGATTCAGTAAAACCAGGCCTGAGTTCCTGTTCGTCCACAGACTCCCAAAAGCAGCAGTTTCTCCGGGCCTCAGCTGCCCTGCCTGTACCAGGAGATGACAGCACTGCCCGACATGGGGAGGGGAAATGCACCGTGATTGTCTGATGGCAATGGGGGCCCAGTGTCCCCCAACTCAGCTCCATCTTCCACTTCCGCCCGGTCCCAGTCGCCCCCAGCGGCATGTTCCATGAAAAGATCTGATCTGTTGGCGGGGATGGGGAGAGAAACTAAAAGTCAAGCCAGATGACAAAGATTTCCATGAGCTGGCCTGAGCCCACCCCACTGCCACTCGTTCCCCTTCTAACAATAACAGAGGAGGGGGGCGAAACCCCCATAGCCAGCTTAATAACAGAGAAATTAATAGATCTGAGGTGGTATCTGGCATATTATATGCTATATTATGGTTGTATCTGAGCACCTCCCAATCATTGGTGAGCAGGGCAGGGCTATGATCCTGATTGTACATATGGGGAAACTTAGGCACAGGGAGGCTAAGCGATTGGCCAAGGTCCTGCAGGGAGGCAGCACCAGACCAGAGATTAGAAGCCATGTCTTCCAAGTACCAGCTGAGCAGCCAAACCGCCAAGCCATCCATCTTCATTGAGTGCCCCATTCCACGCCATAATCCCCCCAATAACAGAGAAGAGAGCCCATTCTATCCCATCCACATCCCCAAAACAGAGCAATGCCCCCCAGCAGCCCATAATTACTCCCAATAACAGAGCAATGCCCCCTCAGATCCCATAATCACCCCCAATAACAGAGCAGAGAGCCCTGGCAGCCCATAATTACCCTAATAACCGCAAGATGCCCCAAAACACCACCCTATGTGGCTCCCCAAACCACAGTTATCTCCTTTCCACCCCAGCACCCTGATGCCCCCAGCCAGGCATCTTGACGACAGGGGCTGGACTGGCCCTGCTTCACCTGTAGCTCCCGGCGGGGGGTCCTCGGGAGTGGAAGAGGCTCCGGTGTCTTGGACAAAACTAAGGATCCTCCGGGATGGGTCACTTCATATGCTGCGGAAATGGGCTGTCCCTGTGAGTCAACATGATTGCCGTATCTGGGGAGCTGCCCCACACGTTGGCATGCAGGCAACTCCCTCCGCCCTCATGCTCCAGTAGGTTGTATCCGGGGGCGTTGCGGAAGCAAGCCAGGCTTTGTTCCCGATTCTGTCCTCTGCCGAGGATCCCAGCAGGAATTAGCCCTTGGAACGGCACCTTCTCCATTGCCGAAAGCGACTCCCTGAACCTCCACCCAGCTCTGGAATCTGTGCCTTCCTCTTCCTCGTCCTCTTCCTGGTACCCTGACCCGGCCTGACTCTGCGTGTTGATCCCTGGTTCTGCTCTCAAGTTTGGCTCCTACCTCTGATCTCCTGGTAACCGGACGCTGCCTCCCGAAGCTCGACTCTGGGTTTGCCCTCGGGCCTGCCTCAGATTCTGACCTCCCGGTATGTGGCCTGGCCTGATTTCCCAGCTCCTGCTTTGAGCACTAGGTCAGACAGCTCACGTCCTGCTCGTAACACCCCTCCCTCCCCGCACCCCATGCGGGGGAGCGGAGTGGGCCCTAAAAACAGCTGCTCAGTCGCGTTGCGGCTGCCGACTCACAGGCCTGCCTCTGTCCCAATGCAAAAATGGCCCTCTGACAGCCGCCGCCTGTGTGCCGGTCGGTGACTAGGAGCTTCCGGTCATTGCTGTCCCGCTCCCATCACCAAACGCCACAGGACTTGGACATAGACAGTGGTGGATTACTTCACGGGCCAACGGGGCCCATGCCCAGGGGCCCGGGCCAATTTGGGGCCCCCAGAAACGCCACCACCACTGCAGGCCTGAGGCTGGAGGAGATCTCGCTTCAAAGCTTCTTCAGTCTCGGGGTAGGGGCAGAAACGAGCAAGCGGGGGGTGAGGCCATGGGGGGAGGGGCGGAATCATCAGGGCCGTGGGCAGAAAGGGGTGGGGGGACAGGGCGTAAAGGGGCGGGATTGTGGGCAGAAAGAGGAGGGGAGATGGGAAAGGGGCAGAAGAGGGTGGGGCCATGGGCGGGGTCATAGGCAGAAGGGGCGGAACCGCAGGCAGAAGAGGTGGGGTGGGGACAACTTTCTGGACCAGGGGCCCCCCCACTTGCTCTGGCCCAGGGCCCCAGGCGACCTTAATCTGCATCTGGACATTGATGTGAGTATGGAAGACACCTGTGCGTGATTTCTTTGAATGTGGAGACAGGGGCAACGGACGCTCCAAAAAGCGGGGAGGCCACTGGTGCGTGAACCATGGCCCCACCCTCATGCTGCCCTTTCCCCTGAGCCCCCACCCCCACACCACCCTTTCCCCCGAGCCCTCGTGCTGCTCATTCCCCCCGAGGCCCCGCCCTCGCACCTCTCCACCTCCTCCCCCCGTCGTTCGCCCTTATGGCCAGTAAAAAGTGGGAAGGCCCCTGCTTGGAGATGCTGTTGCACACCAGGGTCCACAAGGTGCTTGGCAGGATGTGGCTCTTCATGCAAACGCCAGAAAACCGAGGTGATTGGAGATCGCCATCCTGCTGCAACCTTCATCCGCCTTCACAGACATTGAGAGAAATCGTCTCTTTGTCCGCCTGCTCTGCCGCTGGGGAGTTATGGGAAACCCAAGCCCTCCAGCGCCTGAAATGGAGGCACCCAACGAAGACGACAGGAAATGGAGAAATGGGAAAGGAGGAAAGAATGCTGTGCACCCTGATTCAATAATCCAGATCCACCCCTTCCACTGGGAGCCGTCTGCCCCAATGTGATAAGATCTGTGGATCCCAGATTCTTTTTACTGGCCTCCTGCAGATCCACATCTGTCATAACTATAAAGGGAAGGGTAACAGCCCTCCTGTGTACAATACTATAAAATCCCTCCTGGCCAGAGACTCCAAAATCCTTTTACCTGTAAAGGGTTAAGAAGCTCAGGTAACCTGGCTGACACCTGATCCAAAGGACCAATAAGAGGACAAGATACTTTCAAATCTTGGTGGGGGGAAGGCTTTTGTTTGCGCTCTTTGTTTTGGGGGTTGTTCCCTCTTGGGACTAAGAGGGACCAGACATTAATCCATGCTCTCCAAACCTTCTGAACAAGTCTCTCATATTTCAGACTTGTAAGTAACAGCCAGGCAAGGCGTGTGTGACAGGTTGGATCACAGAACCCCCCTTGGGAGCTGCCACCCGATGTGCAAAGACTACCCCTGCTCCTGTTTTCCCTGCCAGCTCAGGACTCCAGCACCCTGTCTTGCTGAGTCAGACACTCCCGTCTGGCTCCAGACACAGACCCAGGGTCTGAATCACTTGTCCCAAAGCTGCAAGTTTACCTGAAAACAGCTCACAGTAGTGTGCTTGTCTCTAGCACTCAGATGCCCAACTCCCAATGGGGTCTAAATCCAGATAACTCCATTTTGCCCTACATAAAGCTTATGCAGGGCAAACTCATAACTTGTTCGCCCTCTATAACACTGATAGAGATATGCACAGTTGTTTGCTCCCCCAGGTATTAATACATACCTTGAGTAAATTACTAAATAAAAAGTGATTTTATTAAATACAGACAGTAGGATTTAAGTGGTTCCAAGTAGTAACAGACAGAGCAAAGTAAGTCACCAAACAAAATAAAATAAAATGCGCAAATCTATGTTTAATCAAACTGACTACAGATAATCTCACCCTCAGAGATGCTTCAGTAAGTTTTTCTCAGACTGGACACCTTCCAGGCCTGGGCACAATTCTTTCCCCTGGTACAGCTCTTGTTGCAGCTCAGGTGGGCGCTAGGGGATTCTTCATGATGGCTCCTCCCCCCCTTGTTCTCTTCCACCCCTTTATATATCTTTTGCATAAGGCAGGAACCCTTTGTCCCTCTGGGTTTCCACCCCCCCTCACTGGAAAAGCACCAGGTTAAAGACGGATTCCAGTTCAGGTGACATGATCACATGGCACTGCAAGACTTCATTACTCACTTGCCAGCACACACATATACAGGAAGACTCACAGGTAAACACAGCCATCTGCAGACAATGGAAGTCATCAAGATTCCAAACCATCCTTAATGGCCCACACTTTACATAATTACAATAGGCCCTCAGAGTTATGTTTTATATTTCTCGTTTTAGATACAAGAGTGGTACATTTCTACAAATAGGATGATCACACTCAGTAGATTATGAGCTTTGTAATGATACCTTACAAGAGACCTTTTGCATGAAGCATATCCCAGTTACGTTATATTCACTTATTACCATATTTTTTCTAAAACTATCCCAGTTACATTATATTCTCTTATTATCATGTTTTTATAAAACTATATAGACTGCACAACGTCACACCCTCCTCCTGAACTTACTGCCAGAGACTTGGACACTGACCATGGCGGAGGCAGTATACCTAAAATTCGTTTTTGGGCTTCCCTATGGGGCAGACACACCTGTGTCCCCCAAAAGGGAAAGAGACCCTGATCCAGCTGTAGGATCACAGCTCCAAGCTATGAGAGACCTTTCGCTGGCCAGCAAAATCCCCCCCCCCGTTTCACTCAGGTTGGGTTTGCTTCCAGCTAGAGTCCTTGGGGTTTGTTCCCACCGCAGCAGTCACCAGGACCCCAACTTTCAGCTCCAGGATACATGTCTCTGTGCACCTCTTCCACTCCATTACAGCCAGGTCATGCTTCTGGGTCTTAATTGCTTTGTCTCTTAAGTCCAGGTTGGTGGGCAGCCTTTTCTTTTTCCAGGTCAGCCTTTTCCCGGGCAAATTGTACATCAATTTCCATTTGCCTTCCCTTGAGACCATCACTCGATGAGCTGGGATACCACAGAGAACACCCTCTGCAGTTCACTGAA